GCTGGTCAAGTGCAGTGAGTGGATGGTCTCAGCCCGGTCACCAATGACTGCACAAACAAAACAAAAAATACTTGTCAAATTTTAGGTTCTCACTCAATTTAAGCATAAGTTTCTGAACAGCCCCGATCGTCAAAAAATGTTGGTTTTTCTTTGCATGCCACGAAAAGAAAACCCACGACAGGGGGGGGGCATACGAAGGTAAGGCCTCGGAGTAAGAGATCAAGCTCATGGCACCTGTTCTGCGACGCCGTCTGTCCTGGGCCACCCTCTCCGCGAGCATTGCGGCACTCAAGTTTCACCTGGCTTGGACGAAGGGAAACATCGCCTGGCCTGGCGTCACATTACTGACATTACGCAATCGCGCGGCTGGGGCGGCGGGGGGGGTGTGCAGGGTGAAACGTGAATGGGACACAAAGCACGGTGCGCGTCGGCCTTTCCATCGACAACTTGAGAGACAAAAAGTCCCCCGCGCAGGCACCAGCGCGGCACCACGACCGCACCTTTGCGTCCGTCCACCCGCCGCCCCCCTCCTCCCGGCATTGGCGAAGGTCGTCCGTGCGACTTTGACACGGTCTTCTCGCCTCTCCACCCGCTGCGGCGTGGTAACAACGGAGCAACGATGCGGAATCGGATTGTCATAACCTATGTATGTATGTCACGCTTCTTCCGCAACGTACGTAGCCAACCGTGCTAATCGGAAGTGCGGGGTAAGGACAACAAACTAAACACAAAACTCAGTTCTAAAGAAATGAGTTTCGATTTGAAAGTACACAGCTTGTTAGGGTTTGGTGGGTTTCTTGTTTTATTTGGAGTGCCGGACTGATGAATGGACGTTGTGACGCTTACAGCAGATAAGGTTTAAAAAAAACATCTTCAAAGGTCAAAAGTTTGAAAAATGTCCCTCCAATTACTTAATTTGGAGAAACCACGTAGCAGCATCGCCACCTACTGGCAGACCAAGGCCCGTTCGCAAGCCGGTTCTGCATGCGCCTTGCGTCATGTAGGGACAGCTGCCACTGGGTGGGGTGGGATCCCCTTGGCTAGGCTGCAGCAGGACGTTGAAAGAGTTGAGATGCAATCTGATGGCAGGCGCTTTGAGTTGTTGAGGTGTGGAAGCAAGCGCCCCCCCCCCCCCCATACTTGCGAATCCTGAAAAGTGTGCATCTCCTCGATTTGGAATCGGGAAGTGGGGCGGGGAGCAGTCATCTCCAAAAATGGCACTGCATCGGTGGTGGAGATTCCACATTCCCACGGTGGGTGTGAGGATCTCGGTGGGACGGCCGCTGTTGGTGGTGCTGTGGTCAGAGTGCTCGGCTTGCCATCAGAAGGTCACAAGGTCAAGGCCTTTGACGGGTTGTTAACTCGACACATATTTCCTCTGCGGTCAATAAAGTGGCGAACAATTTGTCAGCAGCGGTCGTGGAAATGTTTCGTCACCGGCAGAGTCAGGATGAACCTGCTGCTGGATGAAGCCCTCCCCAAGCCTGAGCCATCCTTCACGTATAACAAGTCATTTCGCGATGGATGAAGGGGGTCCAATTTCATCGTTGCTTTTCCAAATTGCACCTACTGGACATCTGTGAAAAAGTAGCAAACGCAGCCGAACGGGATTCCTCCAGTCTAAATAAAAATTATGATTTTGTGCTTGTGGGTGGTTGCCTCCTTGAATCGATGCTGCCCCCCCCCCGTGTGCTATAACGTATGGACCAGAAGCCACTGGCACAGGCAAAAGAAAATGGAACAAAAGTTTAAAAGTTGCGTGAGGAAGCACGGAATTAGGCGTGGTGGTCTAATGCCTCTGGGTGTGTATGAGGCTTATTAAAATCTATTTCAGTACTATAATTGCCTGTCCCACACACCCTTGTATAAATTGTCGTCGTGCCACATTTTCTTCCAAATGTTTATCTCCGCACTCAATCTGGCTTTCTTTGGCTAAACCAGGCATTCAAGTGTAGCGAGTTTGACGGTTTCTGCCCAGTCATCAGTTTTTTTTTTAATGCGAAGGCGTCACAGTTGCGCAGACCACGGCTTTGGGAAGCGCTCTTCTGCATTGGCTGCCCATTGAGCCAGGAAGTTCCACATTGAATTGGCTTACGTGATTTATTCGAAGTTTGGTTTGTTTGGCCAAGGAAGGGGTTGTTTGTTGCTATATTTTCACCAATTAGTAACCGTTCATGTGCCAATTTAAGATGGTGCATCTGTCATTTCTATCGGGGGCCCTGTGGTGTATATAGAGTATGTTGCAGTCCCCAGATATTAGTATTTTTTTATTTTACCAGGTAAGGCCCACTGAACTATATAGCTATTTTTCATAAGATACCTGGTCACCAAGGCTAGTTCAACGAAGTGGCATATCAGCACGTGGAAATGTATTGCAGCCAAATACTCTAAAAGCATGTCGATTCTCAATGTGGAGGGAAAAACCGGAGGACCCGGATAAAAATCCAGCCGGGATCGAACCCACGACCTCCTGTATATCAGGCGAGGTATTTAACAGTTGGCCACCGTGGCGCCTATGAGAGATGCCTCTGCCTCTCTCTGCATTGCCCAACACGTCACCTATTATATACGTTTCCTGTTAGTAAGCCACCGTGTTATTGATGAACGTGTTGAGTTTTTGTTTCCATGTGTATGTATGTTGAACTTCTTTTTCACCGTACGTAGCCAACAACGCTAATTGGAGGTGGACTACGGCCAACGCAGCAGTTGCAGCAGCATAACAACAACTTATTCATATCTTATATATGATATCAAACCTGTTGACCCATACGGTTTACCCGTATTCTTGTACAGGGAAATCGAGTTTTCAGGTCCATACGGCGTACAGCCGTTTGAATACGAGCAAAAACATTGTTTTGTCCATGTGTTTGTGTTTCTCCCTTGTGACGAGACTTTGTAGGGTGAACGTTGAGATTTATAAGGGCACGGAGTGACCAATAAGGTCTGAATTGGTCTGTAACAAGGTAGGCACTGATAAGGGGTTGAGGTACGTCATGTCATACATTTATACAGCGCCTCAACCAAGGCGCTGTACAGTGAACTAAGGTACAAGATGGTTGGCGAGATGAAACGAGATGAGTGGATGGGATATGTGTAGAATGAGGTGGTGATGCGTGGAATAAACGGAGATGGAAATGAGATGAGTGGATTGATGATGGGTGACCCGGGGGAGTTGGGCACAGAGAAGGCGGCGTTGGTACGAGTAGGGAGGACAACAAGGGGAGAAGGAAGGGTGGACAAGAGAGAACGAATGAGTTTTAAGAGATGAGCGGAAGGTCGTGAGAGAGGATGATGTCTTGACGTGCAAGGGCAGTTGATTCCAGTGAAGAGGGGCTAGGAGATTGTTTTGTTTGTTTGGTTTACTCTCAGTAAACCCATTGCACACCAGGAGATATTTACCTTAAAGCTCTGCTCAGGTAGACGTGAGAACACATTTATGGTCGATGTAGATTTCTGGTAGATTTCTGGTCGATGTAGATTTCTGGTAGATGTGAGAACACATTTCTGAATGTCAATCTCCCGGGCCACTACGCAGCCCCAGCACCCAGTGCCTCGTACCCCCAGCAGCCTCGTACGCAAGTATTAACCATGGTCAACTCTGCCTGGCCTTTGGAATGTAATGCTATTGGGCGCATTCAGGGATATTTAGAGGTGTGCACTGCTCGACAATCTCTGGAGCGTGGAGATGCTCAACGATGTTTTTGTTTGCGTGCAGTCATCGGTGAGCAGACTTTTATCATCAACCTCACTGCACTGGAGAAACCTCGCTTAAACACTGATGGCTAAACCCCACATCTAAGCGCGAGGTGGCTCAGTGCTGTTACACGGCCATTATGAGCTACAGCAGCTCTCAGCAGAAAGGCAGTAGGGAAAAATGCATTGTCGTACTGTACTTCTATTGTCCCACAACTGTGGTCCCCAGCGCTCGTCAGCACGGATCAACCTGCGTGGTAAAGTACGGTGAAACAAATTGTCACGACCGACACGGTGTGACGGAGGCTGCCCATCCAGCAGTGGATTAACACAGGGATGGACGTGCACATACGTGCATGCACATAGCAATAACACAAACAACAACCGCCATTCGCCACGGAGTGGCGGTGGTGTCACCACGGCGCTTGTGCAAGGCTGGGTGCACTTCGAGTCCCGTGAAGTGTCGAAGTCTCGCTGGCAGGTGGTCACGGGACAGACCCCCAGGCGCCTTGACTGACCGAGATGGCTTGCGGATGCACCACCTCGCAGATAGCAGCCACACGGTCGCTAACATCGCTAACATCGTCACCATTCTTCTGGGGTAGATGCTGGTCGGCAAACTGGAACTCTGCTTTCTCGGCAAAGGAAAAAATAATGCTGGATTGCACAAGAGCATACTTCTCAAACTGAAGCAACTTCTAAATTTAGGTCGCGTTTTGCAACGGTTGTCAAAAAATGGTATTCGTGTCTGCCTTTGCTTAGAGGTTATAAATGCTTCCTGATATGAAGACGCGCAATTGCACCCAGCAGTACACATGGGTGTACACCACCGTTTTCAAATCGGCAGGTTGCGCGTGGTGGGGTAAAGTGTGGGTACTCCAACCACCTTCCCAAGACTTGTGGCCGGCATGGAAGACTAGGCCAAAAACACCCTCTAGAGGTGCTCTCGAGGGCTGCCTCGAGTCTGGGTCTTTCCGGCAGCATTGGAAAGCAATGCCAGCTATAAGGACCAGTGACACTGAGGATAGCGCACTGCTCTCCAAACCTGCACACCCGAGTTCGATTCCCCGCCACGGCTAACATTCCCGCGCCTCCGATTAGCACGGTTGGCTACGTACGGTGCGAAAGAAGTTCAACGCACGTACACGCACAAGCATCTGGGCTTGAACAAAGGGAGGCGCTCGCTAACAGCGCTTGCCCCCAACAGTCTATTATAGACTTCAGGAAGTTGCGTGTGGTGGAGGGGTACTCTGCCTCTTGTCGTTGATGCTAACCGTGGGTTGTGGGGGGTTCCCGTCTGCGTGCAGGAGGCTGCCCCCCCTGGAAGGTGGCGCTGCTGTCGGAGGTGCTCGCCATTTGGCCCGTGGAGCAAGCGCCGGCACAGTGGCAGAGGTCGCGACCCCGCCCAGACCTGCACGCGTTCACGGGTACGCTTGTGGACAGCCGTAATGTGCCGTCTGCCCTCTCCATACCAGCGCCGTAGTCGCCCCCGATAGTCCGTTTAAAGTTTCCGGTTGTCGGTGTTACCTCGATTAATCTGAAAGTTAACCTGCGGCGAGGAGGCTGCCGCAAGTTTATTTGCGCGACTTTGTGAAATGTTTTCGATCTGCCGCGTGATCCGCCTGACTTTGCACAGATTTCTGATTGTTGCATTGCCGTGCTTCACCGCTAAAACTATAATCGCACAAGCACTCGAACGTTCCAAAACAACTTCCGAGAACAAATTCCAAACACAACACACCTGAAATAATTATTTAGGATAGCCTATTTTCACCAACCGCTAAACAGATTCGCCTTTTCACACCAATCTCACCTGCCAATCCCGACCAATCAACAATCAACTATATATTCTTAGTTCTTTCGGTAAAGTCACGTTGAAGGGAAACAACAAAATTGTTTTATATATTGTTTTATATATATTTTATTATTATGTTGTTTCCCTTCAACGTGACTTTACCGAAAGAACTAAGAATATGAATTACTGCAGTCACGAAAGCTTTAAATCAACAATCAACTAATTACTAAAGTGGATCACGTGCACGATTGTTGTGCTGATGACGTCACCGCACGGCACCTTCGTGAAGCAGGATCAGGAAGATCAATCACGCGACACGTGAGCAGCTATTACGAAAACAACCTGAATGTGATCGCCAGCGAAATGTCATTTAGACTTGTCAAAAGTTTGCTTGTCTTTTTTTTATTACTCTGGTTTGGCTAAAAACAACAAATCAATTTGGCATATTTGCCCATGACAGTGACAACCTGATTTGAATGGCTCTGCCAGGTGGCGGAGGGTTATAGTTGAACATTGGCATTGTACCTGCACGATTTAACCCGAACGTTACTATGCACTTTAGTTCATTCGTTTTGCTGTTGTCATTTTGGTGACACTTGCAAATGAGGCTTACCCTGGTCTCTTGAGGACTCACCTGGTTAAACAAATATTGAAACTTGAGCAAAGGCACACAAACACACTCACGGGCAACACACACGCACACACACAAGGTTATGTACACATATGTGTACGCAGGCATGCACACATTACAGGTACCTCGACAAACACACTCATGCAGGCAGGCACAAACCCACACGCAAAAGACAAAGATCATCCTTTTAGCCTTAACAGACAGGTGGGGCAAGTGCTGTTAGCGAGCAGCACCTATGAAGGCCGGCACGGCACACGAGGGGGTGGGTGGCCAGCACCATCGCACCAAGTGCTCCTTGTGATGCTGAGCCGACGAGGGCTGGTTCGAATAATCGTCACCGGTGCTGGTGGCCGTGAGCGGTGAATTGAGCTGGAGTCCGTGCCGGGTTTACACCAATCCCGCACACTGGCCACTCGGGTTTTATTTCTGACCCCCCCCCCCCATTTCCGCCCCCCAGTGTACTTCGTGCGCCGTGAGTCTCGGCAGAAGTGGGCGGTGAGCGACATCACCTTCTCCACGGAGCACGCGGACGTGGCCGCCCGCTGGGTGCAGGCGGCGCGCAAACAGCTGATGGGCCAAGGCAAGTGGCCACCACGAAGGACACCGCACAAAGACAAAGATAAAATAAAGATCCCGCGTATAGCCTTAGCAGACTGTAGGGGCAAGTGCTGTTAGCGGGCACCTATGAAGGCCGGCACGGCACACGAGGGGGCGGGTGGCCAGCACCACGCCCGGCCGCCTTTGTCTCCCGAGTGGCGATGTTTACACACCGCAGCAGGTACTCATTTGAGACCGATTCGACCTAGGGGAGGCCCAGGGCCGGTTCAAATAATCGTCGACGGCGTTGGCCGTGAGCGGCAATCGAATTTGGGTTCCCGGGTTTGTAGCGCAGCGCGCTAACTGCTGCGCCACCGCTCCCCCGCCACCACCGCCGCCGTCCCCACCCTACGTGTGACTGACGAGCCATGGCCGTGCGACTGACACGATCGACACGCGACAGTCACGCCACCGGAACGCGGTCGATGGCGTGCGAGGGAAGTGCCATGGGCATCCCCCCCCCCCACTCCCACCAACCCCCCCAGGAGCTGAGTGGCTCACCGAATATTTTCCGGGGTCGCCGCGAGACCGGAGCAGGTGACGCATAACGATGAGAGTAGCCACAGCCGTAGGCGAGAGGTATGTCCGGTGTGGTGTGCCGGGCGCGGAAATATTTTGGGGTTTGCCGACCGGGCCGGAATTAGGCCCTGCCGAAGCTGCGTGGTAGCGTGCCCAGGATGGGTGCATAGTGCACGCGCAGCCCATTTCTCAGTCCACTGCCGGATGGGGCCTCCCCACCCTGCGTAGAGTTTGCGGCAGCTACGACCGACCGTGGGTTTGGTGAAACCGGAAACATCTTTTTTACATATTTGATACAAAAAGTGACTATTTAAATGTTCTTTGATTCATCCCCCCCTCCGATTTCCCCCCCCCCCCCGCCCGCCCGCCCGTCGCCCCCCCGCGCCCTGCAGAAGTGGAGCGTCCGGAGAGGCTGCTCGTCTTCGTGAACCCGTTTGGCGGCCGCCGAGAGGGCGAGAGGATCTACCGGAAGCGCGTGCAGCCGCTGCTTGAGCTCGCGTCCATACACGCGCACGTCATCGGTGAGAGAGAGAGAGGGGGGCGGGGCAGGGTTCACGTCGCAGGGCCCATCGGCACCGCAGTGCTCGCGAGCGGCGAACGCGAGGAGGGCCTCCGTGTGTGACTAAACGGTGGATCCCTTCTCTCGTTGTCCTTGCCATGTAGTGACGGAGAGAGCCAACCATGCCCGAGATTTCCTGCTCGCAGAAGACCTCAGCAGTTACAATGGGTATGAATGTGCACTTGCGAGCGCGTGTGCGTGGTTGTGTTTTGGGGAGCGGTGGCGAAGCGGTTAGCTCGCTGGGCTACTAACCCGGCAGAGACCCGAGTTCAATTCCTGCTCGCAGCCACCAACACCTGTGACGATTATCTGAACCTCTCCTGGGCCTCCGCTAGGTCGGCTCGACATCATATGAGTGTTTAAACAACATCGCCACCGGGGAGATAAAGATGGCCGGGCGTGGTGCTGGCCACGCCATCCCCACGTGTACCGTCGTGGCCTTCATAGGCGCTCGCTAATTGCACTTGCCAGAGCGGCGTATTCAGGTCTATACAGGTGATCTTTGCGTGGTTGTGTATATGCACCCGTATATGGTTGTGTGCACGTGTCTGTGTTCGTGCATGTTTATGTGTTCGTGATTGTGTGTGTGTTTGTCCTTGTGTGCGACTGGCTGTATGTGTGTGTCCGTGCACACAGTGTGTCATCACTTGTGTTTGTGTGTTCATACACAACCTACGTGTGGCCCTTTTATACATTCAGAGGCGGTTGCTTTTGTAGATGCCACATATATCCAAATAGAATCGTCCGCCTATACTAACTTCACCTGCCCTTTCATGTGTTTGTGCATGTGCGTACGTCTGCATGCCCCCCCCTGCCCACAGTGTGGTGTGTGTGGGCGGAGACGGCATGTTCAGTGAGATTATGCACGGAGTCATCGGGCGCACTCAGTCGGACGCCGGCCTCGACGAACATGACTCCGCGACCCCGTTGCAGCCGTGCCCCCTCCGCATCGGTATCATCCCTGCAGGTGGCAGCCAACCCCCCACCCCTCACCCCCCACCTGCTTTTCCACTGGCACATCCTCGGGGACCCAGCCTGACGAGCCACGTGGTCCGGGTGGTTTTGTCCGCCGGCTATTTGCCGCGCCGTGCAGTGCCGGAATGAAAGTGCGATGAGTCAGCCTCTCAAAACATCTGAATCGGGCTCGGGGCCAAGCAGGGCCAGGGGCGGGATTAATAATTTTTGTTATTTTTTCTGATGGCAGTGACGGTTGGCTACGTGCGGTGCGAATGAAGCTCACCATAGATACATACACGGTAGTGATGGTGGTGATGGTGGTGGGAATACCTGTACGATTGAACCGAAACTTAAGTAATAATGAATCGGTGGCGGTAATAGTAACAGTGAAGCCACGAACGCTGTTGCCGGTGATGGTGATAGTTATGTGATTTGCATCGTTGGTGGTAGTGGTGGCGGTGGTGTAACGGTTGGGTCGTCATCCCCCTCCAGGTTCCACGGACTGCGTGTGTTTTGCCACGGTGGGGACCAATGACCCCGTCACGTCTGCCCTGCACATCATCATCGGTACACAGGCTGCCCCTCCGCATCCCTCCTGCTTGCCTCACCGCCCATTCCCTGCCCGATCTTGGCACACGTGCAATCCCGTGGCTTTAACGTGGGTTTTGGTGGATCGCACAGAGGGTAGTGTGAGTCTTTGGGTCTCTGTGTGAGCCTATGGTCTCTGTGGGTCTGTGGGTTTCTGTATGAGCAAGGTCTTTGTGGGTTTCTGTGTGAGCTTGGTCTGTGGGTTTCTTGGTGAGCCTATGGTCTCTGTGTAAGTCTGTGGGTTTTTGTGTGAGCTTGGTCTCTGGGTCTCTCAGTGAGCCGTGTTCCATGTGCTGCCACTCCCACCCCCCCCCGGTACCCCTCTCCACCCCGCGACATGCAGGTGATGATCAGCCCCTGGACGTGTGCAGCGTGCGACAGGGCGAGCGCCTGCTGCGCTACTCCGTGTCGCTGCTGGGCTACGGCTTCTACGGCGACGTGCTGCGAGACAGCGAGGCGCGACGCTGGATGGGGCCCATGCGATACGACTTCTCGGGTAGAGTGGGCGGGCTGAGTGGTAGAGTGAGCGGGCTGAGTGGTAGAGTGGGCGGGCTGAGTGGTAGAGTGGACGGGGCGAGTGGTAGAGTGAGCGGGCCGAGTGGTAGAGTGGGCGGGCCGAGTGGTAGAGTGGGCGGGCCGAGTGGTAGAGTGGGCGGGCCGAGTGGTAGAGTGGGCGGGCCGAGTGGTAGAGTGGGCGGGCCGAGTGGTAGAGTGGGCGGGCCGAGTGGTAGAGTGGGCGGGCCGAGTGGTAGAGTGGGCGGGCCGAGTGGTAGAGTGGGCGGGCCGAGTGGTAGAGTGGGCGGGCCGAGTGGTAGAGTGGGCGGGCCGAGTGGTAGAGTGGGCGGGCCGAGTGGTAGAGTGGGCGGGCCGAGTGGTAGAGTGGGCGGGCCGAGTGGTAGTGTGGGTGGATTAAGTGGTAGAAAGTCCAAGTTGGAGATTTGTTGCACGGATGATCCAATTTTAGCGAGTTTCCCATCTATTTTCAACTGAACGTCCATGGTGCCGTGGGCGCAGCAGCAACAACAAAAATAACAAAAACATGAACATTTCAGAGGATGAGTACACACGCGGAATAAACAAATACAGCGCAAGGATAGTACGACAGCAAGACGTGGCAGAAAAACGTACGTACGCTCTGTATCTTACTCGAACAGTGACATAAACACACACAAATTGAGCAAAAAACTGCAAACACGTGGGAGCAAGAGGCGCATGAATAAAGTTAGGTGCAAGTAAGCTCTGTGTTTTGGCCTAATAAGGACATGAAAATCGGGGGAGTGAACCAAGCTTTAGATGGGCAGCAAGGGTGATCCAGCAACGTGGAAATACTCCGTGGAGTTGTGTGACCTGGGCTCGAACTCTGTCCGTTTGCTCACCCTGCAGGCTTCAAGACTGTCATGAAAAACTGTCGCTACGAGGGCAAGATCGAGTTCCGTCTGGCAGGGTCATCCTGGTCCGGGCCCAGAGACCTGAAGCGCTGCCGGAGCGGGTAACGCGCCCTCACGCGCCCTCACGCGCCCTCACACGCCCTCACACGCCCTCACGCGCCCTCACACGCCACCGTACAACAACAGCAACAAACAGCGACATTGCCGTTACAGCCCCTCGGGCGATCCGCTGCTGGACGAAGGCCCGCCCACTGCGTGGGGTTTATTTTTATCATATATCGTCACTGATGTTTAGCCTCTGGCTGGGAAATCGGACTCAGGTGGCCGGGTTTGTGGTGCAGGCGGCTCACCGCTGTGACGCCTCTTCCCCGCCCCGCGATGCGTAGAGTGAATCGTTTTATTGATTTATTTGTTTACCAGGGTAAGAATCATTCAGCCTTAATCCCTTTTATAAGAACGGCCCGTGAATGACCTTGGACCGTGACCTTAAATCGTGGGCAAGTGAATCGGAAATTATTTAAGATTCATTTAATATTTCAATAATTCATGTGCGCGCACAACACCCACACACACAAGAACCACAGATCGCTAATATAACCTTAAAGGCTTTTGGGGCAAATGCTGTCGGTTGAGTATCTATTAATGCCGGCACGGCACATGAGGAGGAATTGCCGTGCTCGGCTGCCTTTATCTCCCCAGTGTCAATGTTTACACATCGCGCCAGGTGCTCATTTAGGGCTTATTTGACCTTGGAGAGGCCCATGAATGGGTTTGATGCCCCTCAGTACAGACGTTTGCCACGCATGCGACCTTCTAAATCTCGTACCACGTTCATGACAACACAACCATTCCAGGTACTCATTTTAGGCAGAGTCGACCTAGGGGAGAACCAGGCCCGGTTCCGATCTCATTCATAAGGTCGCACTCATTACACACACAAAGTGCTTGCCACAAATTAACCACAATGCCTTGCTGATCTCATCAAGGAGTGTAAACCATCATCACGTGAGCTGTGCTCATCCTCGCAGCAGCAGCAGCTTTTGGCTGGCTATTGAACAAAGACGGTCACTGCATCGCGCGCTTTCAGATGCGCTTCCGCGGCCGTCTGGAATGCTCTTCCATCCGATATTCTGAAGCCACCGGAGCACTTTTAAATCATTTAGATTGATAACTAATTTATTTTGAACTTTCTTTTTGTATTTTAGTTTGCTATCCTTACCCCCGAACCTCCGATTACCACTGTTGGCTTCTGTACGGTGCGAAAGAAGTTCAACATACATACAACATACATGCAACATACATACAACATAGAGATATATATTCTTAGTTTTTTCGGTAAAGTCACGTTGAAGAGAAACAACAAAATAACAAAATATATATAAAACAATAAAAAATTCTCACGACGTTTCGACCATAACTCAAACGGTCATCATCAGGTGTGTCGGTTTGCATAAATTTATTTTTAAACGGCACATTTATTTATTTATAAAAACGTTGGCGTCACGCGCAGCGATTGGCAGTTTGCCCAGGACTAGTCCATCTATTTTTTTGAAAAGAGGAGGGGGGAGACGAAATTTTTTATAATGTATGCTGTCTGAAAGCCACTGTAAGCGTGAACAATCAATCAAGAACTGAAATGATTTATCAAATCTTTCCAATGATTGCTAAGATAGAATCCATCTTCTCGGTTGAAATTGTCTCTGTGCTTGTATATGTGGATAGCCTCATGAACGAATCTCTCATGGAAGCCAGATGGCTTACAAAGAACCTCCGTCTTGGAAAAGTCAATGGCATGTGAGCCTACTGAATTAGAACAATGATCTGCTACGGCCGAGGTGTTGGTCCTACCGTGTTTAAGGTCTGCTTTATGTTCACGAATGCGGTCCGAGACATGGCGTTTGGTTTCTCCAATGTAACTACTACCACAGAGGCAACTTAGTTTGTAGACACCAGGGTATTGTATGTCCGGAATCACATCTTTTACAGACGGAACCAGATCACGGATTTTATGTAATGTGTTGAAACGGACCTGGATCTTGTGTTTATTCAAGATTTTGGAGATCTTTTTTGTGATCCCAGCAATGTAGGGTAAAGTGATGGTTTTGAAAGGCTCCTCAAGAGGGTTCTTCTTCATGGTTTGAGTGATAGCTTTGCGGATTGTATAGTCGGAGTAACCATTAGCCCTAAGAGCTTGGTGTACGTGCTTGAGTTCACTGCTTATGTGTTCCTGGTCGGATATGCATTGGGCTCTATGATACAGAGTCTTGATGAGAGAATTCTTCTGTGATGGATGGTGGTGGGAATCCGGTTTCAGATAAGCATCCGTATGGGTAGCTTTCCTGTAGACAGAGTGGCTCATTGAACCATCAGGTCTCTTTTTAATTAGGACATCCAAAAAAGGTATCTTGCCATCTATTTCGACTTCCATGGTAAATCTGCAGTCACGAAAGCTTTAAATCAAAACATAGAGATATTTAGAATTCATGTTGTTTTTCACTGAGGAAGCACACCACGCGTGCTAGGAGGCAGCAGCAGCCAGCCCGTGAGGCTGGCACTACAAACAACAGCCCGAGCTCTGCAGTCCTCTGTATATTAAGATGTTTACAGCCAATGAATGGTGAGTGTTCATACCAAGGCAGGCGTGGAATTCAGATCTCCTGGATCAAGGGGGGCGGCGTGTCCGCCACCGCGACGCCGCTCTCTCACGGTGGCCGTGGCTGCGCCCATTTCCCCTGCAGGTGTGAAATCTGCTCGCAGACCTCTGAGAAGCTCAAGGGAGGGGAGGAGGAGGAGGGGGGGGGTCTCCCATCCCTCGTGACGCCCCTACCCAGCGATGACACAGGTACGTGCGACACGCACGCGCACTACACACACTATACACTGCACACACCTATGTACAGGGTGCTTCAAAAAAACGTGTTACCACTTCTGAGAATTTTCAACAATGTCACGAGAAATGTGCCCCTGGGCTCTGGAGAAGATTCCAGGCAACGTGTCGATAACGGTGGCGAACAGGTGGAGACTCTTTGACCTTTTGAAGCTATTGACAAACATCTGTTATCAAGTTACAGTGTATTATCCATTCTTTTTATATTCAAAACAATAGTCCCATGTAAATGTTAACATTTTTTTTGAAGCACCCTGTGTTTAGCACGTGCACTGCACACACACACTACAAAGATCCCCACTATAGCCTTCACCAGACTGTTGGGACAAGTGCTATAAGTGGGCACATGTAAAAGCCAGCACGGCACATGAGGTGGCTGATGTTTAACGCACCTCACCAGGTACTCATTTGAGGCTGAGTTGACCTATGTCGAGTCCCCTGGCCCACTTCAAATGTTCGCCACCGACGCTAGCCGGGAATGGAACTTGGGTCTCTGCCGACCAATAGGCACTGACCAATCAGTTGAGACGCACGCCGATGACGCGCTGATGCTGCGGCCTTGCGTTGTAGTGACGTCACGCGACAATTACCCCCTGGGCCTTCGCACTCCCAGATTCATTTTGAGATGCTTCATGAGGCTCCCTCATCACGGTTTGGTTCCGACTCGGCACGGCAAATAGCCGGTGGATAAAATCAGCCGGCACCGTGAATCTTAAAACGAAACTTTTTTATTACGCGATCTCTAACCCGATGAATAATTTTTGTTGTTATCATGAACAACATCGCTCGTGAAATCCTCACGCGTGCAATTTACCGGCGCAGAATTCGTAGAAAGGATGCAGCCTCGCGATTGGTTGCTTAAAAAAAAAACTCAAAGATTTTTTATTTTTTTATTTAAAGCTTTCGTGACTGCAGGGATTGATATTCTTGGTTCTTTCAGTAAAGTCACGTAGAAGGGAAACAATTAAATAATCATCATCAGGTGTAAAAACCACAGCAAGAAAATTTTCTTGCTGTGGTTTTCACACCTGATGATGATTGCTTGTGTTGCAGTCGAAACGTCATGAGAATTTGATTGTTTTATATATTTTTATTATTTTGTTTCCCTTCTACGTGACTTTACCGAAAGAACCAAGAATGTTTTATTTTACCAGGTAATTTTCACTAAACTATATAGCTCTTTTTCATAAGCGACATGGCAACAAATGGTAGTTGGAAGAATTAAATAATCACATGGGAATGTAGAGCAGCAGCCAAATGCTCTAAACGCGTGACGTTGATTCTATTTATGGCGGGGAAAACCGAAGGACCCAGAGAAAAATCCACGCGACCACGGGAAGAGAGACACGCAAACTCCGAATATACAGCAGCAGGCGTCAGGTGTCGGGATCGAACCCACCACCTCCTGTATACCGGGCGAGGTAGTTAACATCTAGCCACCGTGGGGCTCTGCTCAGATGTGCCAGTGGAAAAGCGGGGCGGGGGGTGCGGCGTAGGGCGCTACCCATGCGAGCGTGGCGAGGGGGCGATGGCGGTGCGGAGGGCGCACAGCTGCAGCGGAGTCGTCACGGCGAGGCCGCCTTCCGACCGAGTCCGCCCCCGGTCACTCGCTCGAACGTCCTCGTCTCCGTCCGCTCGGCGGCGGCGGCAGCCGGCCCGGCTCGGAACGCGCCGGTGGGAAAGGGGGGAGGGCAACACCGCGGAGGTATCTGGGCACGCGCGTGGCTTTAACCGCGAGACCCTCCGTCGCCCCGCGCGCGTAGATGGCTGGCGCTGCCTGGAGGGGGAGTTTGTGGCCGTGAACGTGGCCTGCATGAGCTGCGCGTGCCCCAAGAGCCCCCAGGGGCTCTCGCCGGCCGCTCACCTCGCCGACGGCGCCGCCGACCTCATCGTGGTGCGCAAGTGCTCGCGCCTCGAGTTCACGCGCTTCCTGCTGCGGCACACCAACAAGCGCGACCAGGTGCGACCTCGCACGGCGATACGCCACGCGCGCTGGTACGACACACGCGACCACGCGCACGTACGGGGCCGTGCGTGCACGTGCCTCGCGAACCCTCCCACCTCACCCTCTCTCCCCCCCCCCCGTGCCCTCCCCTCCGGCGTGGCCGCCCCAGTTCGACTTCCCGTTTGTGGAAGTGTACCGCGTGACGGAGCTCAAGTTCAAGCCGCGGCTTCACGAAGACGACGATGTCGGCGGCGACGACGACGATAGCGGCGGCGGGGGCAGCGGCGACTGTGGCCTGAGCGGTGCGGTGGGGCTCGACGACGACGGCGATGGCGGCGGCGACGACCGCGAGGGCTTCTTCCACGACCTAAACGAGAACGCGTGCGGCGCCAGCAGCGGCGGCGGCAGCAGCGGCGCCATCGCCGCCGCCGCCGCCGATGAGCAGCAGCAGCAGCAGCAGTCGCTGTGCGCGTGCCGCTCGTTATGCAACACCAGGAGCACGTGGAACTGCGACGGAGAGATCCTCCACGAGACCGACATCAGCGTGCGGTGAGAGAGAGACGGGGGGAGAGGGAGACTGGGGGGAGAGAGATGGGGGAGAGATGGGGTTGGTGGGAGAGATGGGGGAGGGAGATACGGGGGGGAGAGAGACAGGGGAGGAGACAGGGGGGGGGAGGTCACAGGACAGACCCAGGAGCCATGGTTTGACTGACTGAGATGGCTGGCAGATGCACCACCAGTTCCCCCTACTGTCCCCACACAACACAACAACACCCGCCATTCGCCACTAAGTGGCGGTGACATTACCACGACGCTTGTGCCAGGCCATGTGCACCTTGAGGCCACTGAAGTATCGAACACCCACAGGCAGGAGGTCACGGGGCAGACCCAGGTACCACGGGTCGACTGACTAAGATGACTGAGATGACTGGCTGATGCACCACCTGTGCCCCCTATTGTGCCAACCTGCTGTGCTTTAGCCACCCGGCGTTCCGCTCGTTGTTGTGAGCGTCGCTCCTCTGCCCTCTGTTGTTGTTGGAGGGCGAATACCTCCAACTGCCCAGTAGCGTCCTTCACGAGCCTCCTCCACGGAGGCCGATCTTGACACCGCAAGTCCACTCAGCTCCACGTCCTCCTGTACCACATCACTCCATCTCTTCTCTAGCCCGTGCCGCGCCCATTTAGCCCCCTCGATCTGGCCGAACAAATGCTGTTTCGGCATGCGGTGGCTGGGCATGCGGGTCACATGACCCAGCCAACGCAGCCTTGCCTGCCGGAGGAGTTCACCGATGGGACCTTGCCCAGATCTTTCAAAGATTTGTGAGCTCCTCACACAATCCAGCCTGGTTAAACCCAGGATGGATCGTAGGCAGGCTAGCCTAAATGTTTCTAATCGGCGAAAATGTTCCATTAGGGGGGTCCACGTTTCGCAAGTGTAGAGAAGGGAGGGAATGACCGTGGCCGAGAAGACCTGAAGCTTAGTGCGGAGCGAGAGACCAGGTAGCTTCCACACAGCATTACGCAACCGATGACAAGATATTGCCGCTCGACTGATTCGGAGTGAGACCTCTGCTGTTAAACTGGAGCCGGTCATAAGCAAACTGCCGAGGTATGGGAATATCTCCATTCTCTCCACAACTGCCCCATCACCGATTGGGAGTTGTGGGAGTGGAGTGTCCGATGGTACAAAATACCCAGGCAGGTGCTTGGTTTTGGTGGGGCTGATGGTAAGGCCCCATCTCTTAGTTGCACGCTCCAGTCTCAGCAGCAGCGTCTCCAACTCCTCCTCTGAGCAGCTATTACCAAATCATCGGCATACATAACGTGGTTGAGCAATAGCGAGCCATCCCTTGACCTCACCCGGGCATCGATCAGCCTCCCATTATATCTGTACCATATGGAGATTCCCCCGGTACAGCTATTGAAGGCTTCACGAACTACGTGGTCAAAATAGATGTTAAATAATGTGGGAGCCAGAGGACATCCCTGTCGCACCCCAAGGTGTACAGGGAATGGCTCTGACTCCCGGCCACGTAGTTTTACCCGGGCCCGCTCACCATCATGAAGGTCCTTAATGATCGTGAGCAGAGGGTCAGGTACTCCAAAAGCACGAAGAACAACCCAGAGCCCAGGCCTACTGATGGTATCATAGGCCTTGACCAGGTCAATAAAGCAGAGATGTAGGTCTTGCTGGAATTCCCTACACCTCTGCTGTAGCAGACGGACAGAAAATATGGCATCTGTGCAGGACCGCCCTTTCCTGAAACCGCATTGGGGTTCCGCAAGCCTCTCCTCAGCGTGTCTGGCAAGGCGATGTTGAATAATCCTTGCCAGGACCTTTCCCGGCACACTGAGGAGTGAGATGCCCCTGTAGTTGTTACAGTCTGTGCGGTCCCCTTTCTTAAAGAGGGGGACCACCAGGGCATCCTTCCAATCCTGCGGAACCCGTCCAGTGGTCCAGACTGTTGTTATGATGTCATATAGGGCAGTCTGTGCACAAACGCCACCCTCCCTCAGCATTTCGCTTGAGAGATCATCTCTGCCCGCTGCCTTTCCTGGTCTCAGACTCCGGAACGCCTTCAGTACTTCCTCAACAGATGGCACTTCAGCCACTCACAGGGAGTGATTTCTTCCAATATTTGAGGCACCGCAGCCTCAGCAGGGTCATCCTCACTTTGTGCCACGATGTTTTTCTGGCTGAGGGATTTTCCCTCCCCCAGGACCTCACAGAAATGCTCAGCAAATCTGCAAACCTGTTCCTGGGGGTCGGAGAATGGATCACCGTTTTTTCCCCTAATGATGGTAATAGGTGTGGCGCTGCAGGTTATTTTTTGATGGAGTTAAATAGAGATTTGTGATCGCGGGCCACTGAGGCAGACTCCATCTCCTCAGCAACCCGCGACCACCACCCATCCTTGCAGCGCCTCACGGCTCTCCGAACCTCCGAGCGAAGGCTGCGGTAAGCCTCCTCATTCTCTGACATGGGATTCTGTAGCCGATGACAGTGGGCCTGTTGCTTTTTCTCAACCATCCTGAACACCTCCTCTGTCAGCTAGGGTCTCTGGGGAGGTCTGGACCGCGTACCCAAAGCAGCCATTGCAGCTGCATGAGTCACAGTCCTAAACCTCGCTCATTTACCCTCGACATCAGAAGGAGTGGGGGATGATGCCAACCCCAGCCACAAGCGATGATGAAATTCTCGCTTGCAACTTTCATCAGATAACTGAGTCCAGGCCACTTTAGGTTGGAATGGGGTCCTGGGTGTACACCCACCACCAGAGTGGAAGAATGGCAGGCGCATCTTACAGATGACTAGTCGATGGTCAGAGGGCAGATCAGCTCCACGGTAGGTCCTGGTGTCAAGGACATGGGCTCGCATCCGCTGGTCCATCACTATGTAGTCCAGCAGATGTTCTTGCTTGGATCTGGCATGTATCCATGATGTTGTGTGGATGCGCCGATGCCGGAACAGCGTGTTGGTAATTACAAGCCCATGGGCTGCACAAAAATCTAGCAGCCTCCTACTGTTGTTATTGAGCTGATCTGGCCCATGCCCTCCAATCACTCCAGACCAGGTGCCAGCCTCATGACCAACTCGGGCATTGAAGTCACCCAACAAGATGACTATCCCGAGGGGCCACTTTAGCCAGCACCTGTGACAGGAGGTCATAGAAGGCATCTGACTCATCGGCTTTGCCTGCATCCCTCCATGGATGCTCGTCTTCGGTGGGGGCATAAGTAACCACGACCACCACTCCTCACCTCCGGTTGATGGAAAGGCGAGCCCAAAGTAGCCTGGAGCTTACAGCTTCCCACACCTCACCGCTACGCTCCCGCGCCCCCTTCATTCTTTTGTTCAAAAGAAGAGCCACACCCTGTTGTTTGGCAGTCTGCTGCCCCGAGTAGAGGACTGTCCACCCCTCATGGTGGCATGAGCCAGAACCGGTCCACCGGACCTCCTGAATGCCACAGAGATCCAGGCGGTACTGGTCCAGCTCCCGACAGAGGAGTGGCAGCCTCTCTTCCGCAGTGAGCGTTCGAACATTCCACGTGGCCACACGAAGTGGCTTTCCATTGTTTCTGGAGGAGCCCCGAGAGTAGAGATTCAATCTCCTGGCTCCGCCAATTGGGGTTTGGCCAGGAGACGTCATAGACGCCTGTCACCCCGGGGCCTCCGGCACAAGCTTATTAGTTACATTTTTAATTCGTGGTTTAGTGGTAATTAATTGAAGGTGGAGGGGTTACCAGCCCCTCGCACCCGTCCAGAGCCCCCGTTTAGCCACTGTGGTGGACACAGACGCCATGAGGGGAGGAGCCAATCGGAATTGGCCCTCCCCCCACAGCACTGTCTACGACAGAGTTGCCCGTCCGGCACCGCGAGGAGGTAGGGGGTTGTTTTTGCCGGACCCCACACAACACGCCCGCACGTTCACACACGCACACACACTTTAACGTGGCTCCCAAGGAGCGCTAACACTTTTACCTTGCAACTCCGTGTTGTCGCAGGGTTCACGGGCAGCTCATCAAGCTGTTTGCTCGCGGCATCGAAGACCAGCTGGGATTCGGCTGATGGCCACCGGGGGGGCAGATGAACGGACGGGTGGACGTCCCCGCAACAAAACGGCTGAAAAAACGCATGGATGGCGAACTCAAGCCGAGTCACTTGACAATGTGTGGACCACGACCGTCCCCTCTCTCTCCTGCCCGCCTCCGACATCCCACTTCCTGCTGCACACCGACAGCCACCCAGCCTCGCTGCTCCCCCTGCAAGCGCAACAAACTGACGCGCTTAAAAAACAACAACAACAACAACAACAACAACGGCGTCTCCCTGCTCAAGCTGGCCGGCGGGAACTGCTTCCATCCCCCTCGCTTCTCCTTTTGGTGAAAAATGACCACATTCCTATGGCAAGGGGAGGGGGGGGGCGGGGTGGGCAGTATTTATCGTCTTGTTCATCTCCGCAGGGTGGCCACTGCCGACTGTGCAGAGTGGTGCCGGGTTTCTCGACGGCCGGTGGGATGATGGCCGCTCCGAGCGACGGGCAGTCTCACCCCCTGGAGTCTCACAGGACGAGTTTGAGAGCGTGCGACGTGTTTTAGAAACAAACAAATATATTTGCTTTTGAAATCGAACAAATAATATATATTTAAATGAAGGTAGAAGTATATATTTATTTAAATACTATTTAAAGCCTTAATTTGCACTGCTTGTGTCTGGATATCCGTAATTCTGTACAGCTGAGCCACATTCAGAGGCCCTCATGGTCGGTGCTGCCGATGCTTCCATCCTCCGCCGCCGCTTCCGTTGGCTGTTTGCAGGCGTTGCATCGTTGACGCCATTGATCCAAGGTCTACGATTGCCGTTTCGTCACCATCATCACCATCTTGGCTTTCGCTCATCCCATTGGACCTCAATCTCTGGTTGCCACCTCCCACCCCATCACAACCTACTCCTCCCATTTACATCTCCAAATCTTTCCTGCGCCCCACATTCCATTGTAATCCAGCACTGAGGAGCGAGGAGCGAGGGCTGGTGGATTACGCACAGATGGTGTGAAGCTCCCTCCCTGTGGGCGTCGAGGTGTTCGTGCCAGGAGAGGACGGCACAGCAACAAATGTGGCCCCCACCTGTTCCGTCTGTGTGGGATCGAGTGTTTCCCCCTCACACGCGTGGGGTTTTTACCGGGCACTACGGATTCTTCCCACATGTATAAACGCACATTAATTGGCCGATGACGCCTTCATATATAGAGGAGCATAGAGCTTGGGCAATCGTTGGTGCTGGCTCGCCTTCAAGCCTGCCTGTTATTCCTCCTCCATTATCTGAGTCGTCCACTCTCTCTCGCTCTGTACGAGCGGATACTGTGCGGCGGCTTCGCGCTACAAGTTGACATTATTCTAGCATTGTTATTATGTTGTACATTTTTATCTTTGGGGGTGAAAAGCACAAGGCCCACAATTATTGCTGGGATTGGAAAGCCAGATGTGAATTTAGGACCAAGCAGACTTATGAGGCCAAGTGGCCTTTTGTAGCCGTAGTTGTGAGTGTAATATTTGCATCCCATTTGGTGTGCGGTACATTGTACAGGATTTATCGGTGACTGTTTAATGGTTGTGAAATTATAGATAGCGTTGACCTTGCTTAGACGTGGCCACTTGCTGTGCCGGCTTTGGAGTCTCACAATCTCTGCGCGCCCTCTGCGTGTGGTCTGCATTTTTTTTTGTGCTCGAGGTCATGAAAGTTGACGCGTTCACTTCTGAGCTTAAAGAACGGTAAAACAAAGTGATCGATGTCGAATATGCGCTGCAGGTAATGCAAAACTTTGCTTCAGCAAAACTTCGCGGAGTCTCACGACTCTTTTCAAGAGAGTCCTGCCTTGTGATGCTCGGCCTTTTGGGAAAAAAAATAATTGTGCAGGAAGAAATGAGAGTGCCCCGGAGGAAACAGCGCCATTGTGGCAGGCTATCGATCTACTTGCTGTGCTGCATCCAACAAGGCTGTCGTGACCCACCGACCCCCCCCCCCCCCCGTGGCAAGACGCCGTGGGCAATGGGCGTGCATCGCCATCGCCACGTGCCAGTCGGTCAAGCGCCACGGTGACTAGGAGATGTTAACTACCTCACCTGGTATACAGAAGGTCGTGGGTTCGATCCCGACACTGACACCTGCTGCTGCATATTTGGAGTTTGCGAGTCTCTCTCCCTGTGGTCGCGTGGATTTTCCTCGGGGGCCTCCGGTTGTACCCCTCCACATTTAGAATCGATGCGCGTTTAGAGTCTTTGGCTGCTGCTAAAAATGTCCACGCGATAATCCACTTTGTTGAGCTATCATTTGTGGCCAGTCGCTTCTGAAAAAAGAGCTACATAGCTCAGTGAGACTTTCCTGGTAAAAGAAAACATGTTTTAGTTTGTTTTTAGCAACCAATTGCGAGGCTGCATCCTTTCTACGAATACTACTTCAGCGGGTACCGGTCGTGTGTTCAGAGAGCAAACCTACAACGTTTATAATTATATTCTGTGTAAATGTTATGGGTTTTGCTCTCTCACACACAACTGGTGGCGCTGAAGAAGTAATAAATTGGCACGTTCTGTTCACGTGACCGACCTTACCGATTTGCTGCGTTTCGGCTGGAGGAGGTGGGTTTTCACGACACACTTAACATTTATGCCACCTTAACCCACACACACAAAAAAACTTTACCTGTGCAGGCGATTTGACGGAAAACATGAAACGTAGGCCGCTCGGAGCGGTGGGCTCACTTCGTGAGTCACCGCGGCCCCGGCGATGCATTCCCAGGGACGTGATTTTATCGTCAACGGCGATCGTCCGCGTTAATCGCCGATCGATGGCGAAGCAGCTGAGCTTGTATGCAATATAGAAAACCCGTTGCCTTAGATGTCCGATGCAAAGGCGACTGCGTGTGTGTAAGTGTGGGGAGCGGTGGAGCAGCGGTGAGCACGCCGCGCTACGAACCCAGCAGAGCCCCCGAGTTCGATTCCCGCGCACGGCCACCACCACCGGTGACCATTGTCTGAACCGGTTTCTGGGCCTCCCCTAGGTAGACTCAGCCTCAAATGAGTTCCTGGTGCGGTGTGTAAACATCGCCACTGGGAAAACAAAGGCGGCCGGGCAAGGTGCTGGCCACCAACCCACTCGTGTGCCGTGCCAGCCATCGTACGTGCTCACTAATAGCACTTGCCCCAACAGTCTGTTACAGGCTCTACAGGGGGTTGTTTGCGTTATATATTTTGAACTGAATGGCGCGGTTGGCGGCTACGTAGCGGTGCGAACGAAGTTCAAGTTCACCGTACGTACATGCGGCGTTGTCGTCTCTGAGAAAGTCTATCTCTCTCTCCCTACCTACCTTTTTGCTCAAACAATTATTGTCGTGTAGCTCTCTCTCTCTCCCTCCCAATGTTTCGTCGGAGAACGATTTTAAATGAACAGATAATAATAATTTCTAAATGAGTTATTGGCCGGGTGTAAATCCTGCGGCAGTGTATTTTACAAAAGGGGCTGGAGCTCCCTGTTGCCGTGGTGTCGATGGTTGACCGGGTTCTTAAATTCCCCTCCCGCCCGTCCGCCTCCTGGTCCACCCGCGGCTGCGCTCACCAGGGTTGTCCAGCAGGTGGCGTGTGTGTGGGGTAGAGTGTGGGTCAGGGTTGTCCAGCAGGTGGCGTGTGTGTGGGGTAGAGTGTGGGTCAGGGTTGTCCAGCAGGTGGCGTGTGTGTGGGGTAGAGTGTGGGTCAGGGTTGTCCAGCAGGTGGCGTGTGTGTGGGGTAGAGTGTGGGGTGGCGTGTGTGTGGGGTAGAGTGTGGGTCAGGGTTGTCCAGCAGGTGGCGTGTGTGTGGGGTAGAGTGTGAGTCAGAGTTGTCCAGCAGGTGGCGTGTGTGTGGGGGTAGAGTGTGGGTCAGGGTTGTCCAGCAGGTGGCGTGTGTGTGGGGTAGAGTGTGGGTCAGGGTTGTCCAGCAGGTGGCGTGTGTGTGGGGTAGAGTGTGAGTCAGGGTTGTCCAGCAGGTGGCGTGTGTGTGGGGTAGAGTGTGGGTCAGAGTTGTCCAGCAGGTGGCGTGTGTGTGGGGTAGAGTGTGGGTCAGGGTTGTCCAGCAGGTGGCGTGTGTGTGGGGTCAAGTGCTTACTCGAGTCCTGGGGTGGTGAGGTCGGCCTTCAGCCAGCGTGAGCAGGAAATTGCAGAGCTGCGCCTTCATAACTTTTTTGTCTTAATTTTAACAAATATAAGGCACGCACTCGTGTGTGTGTTTGGTTTTTAGTGGGGAGCGGTAGTGTAGTGGTCACCGCCCTGCGCTACGAACTCCGACGACCCGAGTTTGATTCCCGCTCACGGCCAACACCGGTGGCGATTAACTGAAACGGTCCTGGGCCTCCCCTTGGTTGACTCAGCCTCAAATGAGTACCTGCTGCGGTGTGTGCACTGGGGAGACAAAGGCGGCCGGGCGTGGTGCTGGCCACCTACCCCCTCGTGTACCGTGCCGGCCTTCATAGGTGGTTGCTAACAGCACTTGCCCCAACATTCTTTCAGGCTATACGGGGGATTCATATTCTTTGGTTCTTTCAGTAAAGTCACATAGATAGAAAAATAAAATAAAAACATTAAGTGAATACAAATTAAAGCAAAAACCATGACGTTTCGATCGTAACACAAGCGGTCGTCATCAGGTAACGGGGGGGGGGTTAGCTTCAAACAAACTTTTAAAAAGGTTTTAAATGGGCATAGCCCAAATGTCAGCAGCCAATAATGCGAGTGGTGGGCAGCCAACCCGGCGGGTGGTTGGTTTTCCACCAATCAAAGGGCTGCCAGGTGAAAATTAAATAGATTTTAAAAATGTTTGTTTATTTAATCACTGTGCTCGTTTTTTATTATTATTCCTGGATAATTGATGAGTTGTTATAACGTTTTCCGAGTGCTTATATTATTATTTTTCTCCCGAGAATGTTTTAATGGTTAAAATACGGTGCGAAATAACATCACGTGTGCGCGCGGGACTGATGCATTGTGGGTTATTGTAAACCCACAATGCTCCTCTTGAAAGCGCCTATTTTAGGTATCGGTGCATCGGCTTTATTTAAACTGGCAAACAAACCTCGATTGCAATAGTAGCGGTAGTAAAGTGATCACTTACGGAGTGATTCGCGTTTTTTTCCCCTCCACCGCAATGGTTAAAACGGTCCAAGGCGAAGCTGCCGAGCTACAGGGCAGCCTCAAGAAAGGAGGCGTCGTTTGGACAGGGAACAGGCTGGCCAAGAGGAGTTCCCCTCCACCAACTCGGAATATAATTTTATATTCACGTATGAAGCGCCTTCACTCAAGGCGCTGGGCGTAGTTGAAAAAAAAACCGTACGAATGAATGTACGTTGAACTTCTTTCGCACCGTACGTAACCGGCTGCGCTAATCGGAGTGTGCTGGGGAAAGGCAGCAGACTATCACGCACAAAGTGGTTCGACAGAAATAAGTTTTCAATCTAGATGGTTTAAGTGCATATCTCCCAGTGGCTTCCTGATATCGGAAGAGCGTTCCAGACGGCCGCAGAAGCGCATCTGAAAGCGCCGCGCGATGAGAGAATCGAACGATTTGTATGGCGTGGGACGCTTGAGGAATGATTGACCCCGATAGAGGGTTACTTAGGGGATCACGAAAGAGTCGGGGAGGGACGGGAATGAGTGGAGGAGTGGTTGAGGGGAGGGAAGATGATGGGCGATGAGAGACAACGGCGAGTTGGTTGTAGCAGTGTCAAGCAGTCGACTCTGTCGCCTGCTCCGTCACATCCGGTTGGGTGTCCCTGACCCATTGATGGACTTTCCACATTCTCATGGTTGGGGAGTGGATTTTTCCCTTCCGTGGCCAGAGCCGACTTCCTCTAAAGTGGTATGCATTTTATTGGCCTGGCGGGATGATGATGATGATGGGTGTAGCTGACCTGTTTGCTTGCGTTGTGAGTGCTGCAATTACAGGTTAAATGGCAACAGGGTAGCGATAATAGACACTTGGATGGAGGGCGTTGGCAGCGCCGGATGTAGGGAAAAGCTCGGCAAGCTACTGCGTGAGCCTCGCATTATGAGGGGCCTCTAAATATGACCCAAAAAAATACGTTTAAAGTTTTACATAATCGGTTGAAAAATCAAGTAGATAGGGGTGGGGGAACTCTCACAAACGATTATTTTCATTCTGATATGACAAAAAGTGTACGCGCGTTGAACTTCTTTCGCACCGTACGTAGCCATCCGTCCTCATCAGAGGTGCGGGGGAAGGGCAACGAATATGCAGGCATTCCTCGATTTACGAGCCGTAAGCTTGACATATCTTACGCCCGCAGAGCAAATAATGTTCCGGCCCTGGGTCTCGGCCGGGCCTTAATGGTCTGGTGCCCCCCCCCCCCCCCCTAATCAGGATCGCTGTCCCCGTGCCCCCACCAAGGTGACTTCAGCGCCAGTACACAGAGAGAGGATCCATCACGGCCGAAGTCTGCGATGGATCCTCTATTGAGGATCCTGGACTCTGGTCTGTGGAGCGACGACTGAAGATTTGACATGCGTTAATAGCATTGCACCGTCACGTCGGCCATCATTTATGGGGTTTTTTGTTTCTTTACTTTTATAGGGCCGCAATATTGTTCGTGAATGTGTTCAAGTTTTGTCGTTTGTGCCGATGCAGTATCGCAACAACAACAAAAACGAGCGATTGAATCTGGGTAAGCAAGGGACTCGAATCGATCCGTTCATCGTCGACTGCACTGAGGACTGATGTCCCACTCATTCACATCGATTTGGAGGTTTCGTTTAATTTGACCAATCGCGGATCTGAAGACGGTAATGCAAAAGTGTTGGGTGGCTGACAATTGTTGTAACGTTCTGAACACCCCCCCCCCCCCCCTTACTTGACATCTGTGAAAAAAGAGCTTTATAGCTCATATGATTCCTCCAGCATAAGTCAAATCATTCCGATTCGGACCTACGGCAGAAGCTTTGAAGGTGGCCCTCTGTTGACGGCTGAGTGGGGCCGATTGAAAGTGGCTGACGACGATGTTGCCCACAACCTTCGGCTCTTGCAGTCACATCTAACGTCCGGTTAATCGAGCAGCAATGTGCTTTTAACAAGCGCGACTGCTGATGAGACCCCGAAGGTGGAAACTGGTCCAGAGTTTGCCTCTTTAAACAGAATGCCACTCGGTAA